AAATTTGCCACAAACGATTATTAAGTTTTCCGTTTTTTTTTTTTTTTTTTTTTTCAAATTTATAATGATAATAATAATAATAATAATAATATAGTAATATATGTATTTATTCTCTCAAATATATTATTTAAAAAAAAAATAAAATTTGTTTTTTTTTTTTCCCACCATGCATGTTTGGTTATATCATACATTTATTCCCATAAAAGAAAAACTTAAAAGAACAGAATTTTTATACAAATTGGGTTATGCAACTGGTAATACGCGAAACCCGACAAATTGCATAACTCAAAAAAGTAAGGCGGACGGAAAAAATCGAAAAAATTCAAAAATCCTTAAAAATTGTGGTTATGCAACTGGCAATACGCGAGAACACGACAAATTGCATAACTCAAAAAAGTAAGGCGGACGAAAAAAAATCAAGAAAAATGAGTGAAAAATTGGTTCCGAGTATCAGTAAAACATAATATTCAGGAGGTCTCAATTTTTCGATAGTTTCGTTTCGCTTCAACGCCTTGCATTTAGAGTATATGCAATTTTCAGTACAATTTTTAACCAATGGCGTGCTTTGTATACATAATGAGAAATTAATGGCGCTCGCCATTCTTACTCGTGATTGGTCAGAAAAAAAATCACATATTTTTCATGTTTAACTTATGTATTAATAGGAATAAAATTTAAATGATGAAATAACTATGTTTTAAAGCAAAATTTTGTATATGTATATATTTAATATGACCAAGGATGGAGAAACGAATTTAAAATTTAAAAAAATAATAATAATAAGAATAATAAATAAATTTTATTTAATTTTTATTTATTTATTTATTATTATTATTATTATTATGTAAAAATATTTATTCGTGGCCGTATTATAAAAGCATGTTCGGTTGTTCATCTCGTTGTGTGTTATGTTCGGTTCGTTCTTTATATTATAAGTCGCAAATTAATATTAAAATTAATTTACAGTTTATTTCTTGTGACGTGTTAAATGCTTAGCATACACTTTTTCACAAAATAAAAGTAAAGGTTATTTTAACTCGCGAACAAACACTTAGAAACTATCACTCAACAAAAACTAAAATTAAGGAAACGGATAAGAATTCAATATAACAAACAAGTATCGAAAGAACGCGTGCAAAGCTGTGAAGCTTCCCTTTATAACCTCAATTTTTCATTAGTCAATTGTTTCGAATGTCCAACAATCTAAACGAGCAAATACTTGCAAATAAAACAAAAGAAAGAGTTTCTAGAAGCTTCGCTTCTAAAGAAGAACAATTTGAGTTCATCGTTAGTCTTTTGTTTATAAAAAAATTGAAAAATGTGAACATTGAGTGCGGGATCATAACAATATATATATATTTACAAGGCCAAAACTGTATTCTATTACTGGAACAGCTAATGTGCCAATGGAGTTTAACTTATTTCTTCCATTCAGTTCCGACTGTAATATGAGCCTCAATCTTTTAAAATATTCTTTCTTTAATCGAGGTTTAATTTCCTTGTTGGCTACCCCAAAATTTTCTTCAATCCCCAGATATTTGTATGTTGATCCAGGGTCCAGTTCTTCAATAAGTTCTTCTTCGGAGTCTTCTATATTTTCCTTCCGTTTTAACTTTCCACTGACAATATTAACTCTGGCACATTTTTCCAAACCAAATTTCAAGTTGATGTCAGAGGAAAAAGTTTGAACCGTCCTTAGCATTTTATTTAACTCCTCTTCATTTTTTGCATAAATTTTTAAGTCATCCATATACAGCATATGGGTGATTTTCCTGCCTCCCGGTACCAACTCATATCCTTCAGTCGCAGGAGTATAACTCCCATTTCAGCCTCAACCTCAACCCTTCTCTCAAAGCCGAAATCATCAGATCCGAACTCGCAAAGGTGAGAGCAGATTCCCCTCCGGCATAGGCCGTTGCAGAGATCTGCTCCACCCAATTGGGATACTCCCCTCAACCATGTGGGAGGCATTCCCGAGGTATCACTTTCAGTCCTGCCTCCCATAATTACACATGTACATATACATACATAATATAATACAGTATTCATGTTAGAGTGAATTCATATTGTTATGTTCGGTTCGTTCTTTATATTATAAGTAACGAACAAGCACTTAAAACTATCACTATAACAAAATTAATATTAATGGATAAGAACTTAATACAGCTAGACTAAAAATCAAATGAACACGTGCAAAGCTGTGTAGCTTCCCTATATTACTTCGGTCTTTTGCTACTCAATTGTTTCGAACGTTCAACAATGCAGACGAGCAAACACTTGCAAAAGAAAAAGTTTCTAGAAGCTTCGCTTCTAAAGAAGAACAATTTGAGTTCATCACCAGTCTTTTGTTTATAAAAAATTGAAAAATGTGAATATTGAGTACGGGATCATAACAATATTCAGATAAATGAGAAACATTTGATCTTTCAGCGACTATCCTACGATAATCCCAACAGTGAAAATTTCTTTCGTCTAATTGAAGATATTTTGTGCAAAGGTTTAATTCTTTGTTCCAATCAGGTTTGGGTAAATTGTCCAATATCCATATTCTATGATGCCAACTACCATAGGATTTTGGATTTACTCTCAGGCACTGTTCTGTCAATTGTAAATCTTTTTTCAATAGTTTTTGATAACTTTCCAAATCCTCGTCGTTTTTAAACGACAAAAATATTTCTCTTCTATAATTCCATAATGTTATTATATCCGGATTTCCTGTTATTAAATTACCAGTGAGATTTAAACCTTCTTCGTCGTGAATTTGTGAAGAACGTTTTTCTGAATGAATTTTTTAATGAATATTTGATTCATTATTTTTTAAATTCTATTGCCTTTTTCTGTTTCTCTTGCCTTGCGATGTCTTTTTCTTCTTCTGTCGTTCTTATTTTGACTCTCCCGTGCATTTTGTAATTTCTTTAAAAACAAATTTTACGATTTTTATTTGAAATTAATACAGGAAAAATAACTCACAATGGGAAATAGTAAAAATAATAGTAATATATGTAAACAACCATAGACATCAATTTAAACTTAATTATATCGATGGTAAATAAAGTGTCATTAGAAAAATGTATTTCACTTTAACGTGGAACTTATAAAAATATGGAAGCTTTTAACGTACCCAATACACAAATATTTTCGTTAAATAATTTGTTTTATGTAAATTATTGGGTTGGCCAGTAAGTAACTGCGCATTTTATCAACAGATAGTTTGTCCGGTTTTTTGAGTACGTTTACGTTTATGTACAAACATGAACTTTTGGTATGTTATTACTTGGTTCCTTCTGTAACATTCAGTACCAAAATTTCATTGAACTCTTAAATAGTGCGCGAGCAAAAGACATTTAAACATGGGGAGCCAAAGCGAGCATTTCCTTCATATTTTGCTTTTTTATTTCTGAAAGGGTGTTAATGCTTCACAAGCCAATAAAAAGTTGTGGGCCGTGTAGGGGGATGAAACCTTAATAGAACGGCAGTGTCAAAACTGGTTTGCGAAATTCCGTTCTGGAGATTTTCCTTTGAAAAATGAGGAGTGCTCCGGGCGTCCATTGGAGGTTAATGATGAGCAAATAAAGGCCCTCATTGATTATGATCGGCATAGTTCGACTAAGGACATTGTAAAGAAGCTAGATGAGTCACATACGTGCGTCAAAAACCGTCTGCGGCGTCTTGGGTACCAAAAGAAGCTTGATGGGTCTTTGCGATATGCTTCTTAAATGCAATGCGAATGACCCTTTTTTGAAAGAATGGTCACCGGAGATGAAAAGTAGGTTGTTTATGATGACTTTTTGAGAAAAAGATCCTGGTCTAGGCAAGGAAACAGGCACCTTAGAACTTCTAAGGCTGACATTCACCAAAAAAGTTATTGTTATCATTTTGGTGGGATTACAAAGTCATAGTCGACTTTGAGCTGCTGCCACAAAGTCAGACCATAAATTCAGAGGTTTACATTCGACAATTGACAAATTTAAATGATACCATCCAAGAAAAACGACCATAGCTAGCCAATAACAAAGGAATTGTCTTTCACCACGATAATGCCAGGCCCTCCCCATCTTTAGCCACTGGACAAACACTACTAGAGCTTGGCTGGAATGTTTTGCCTCACTCTCCTTATAGTCCCGACTTAGTTCGAAGTGAGTATTATTTTTTCTGATCCCTAAAAAATTTTTTGAATGGACAAAAATTCCAAAATGACAATGAGGTTGTCAAAACTGCATTGGACCAGTTTTTTGCTCCTAAAACTAAAGAGTTTTATGAAAAAAGGAAAATGATACTACAGAAAAGTTTCTTAAAAAGTTTAAGAAATTAAATCATTATTTATAGACTGATATACAATAATTAATTGTTTTTTTTTTCTTTTCTTTTCAGTGTACTAAACAAATCAGGATTAAAATATTGTATTTTCTTCCATTACTTACTTTTTTTTGCCATGTTTGCAAAACTATTACCAGACATCCTCGATAGATTAGATATATTCATTTTGGAAATAGAAGAACTTCAAGTACCAAAACCCCAACTCTGGGAACATTTATGGTGTCTTTCAATAATTGTCACTTTTTTTGGCCTGTCAGCAATTAAAAAAAATAAAATACACGTTATTAATCAATATATATATATGGAATTATAATATTCGGTTTTGGTACCACGTTATTTGGCGCCATGTATTATTTCCATGAAGTTTGGACTTATCTTAGATCAGGAGTAAATGATGATATTATATTGTGGCAAGGTTTACCCTATGGTTTACTATGGTATGTTTTCATATTGGCCGCATTTCAAGTACATTTTTTTTCCATATATTTTGCATGGAATTTAAGAAATGCTTGGAAAACAAGAAGATCCCATAAGAAATCCGGTAATTTTAATATTTTAGAACCTGGAGGTATCGTTTAACCTCAACACGGATCTCTTCCTCCCACGACCGTGCGACCTGGAACAACGACGGCCGTACCCCAGCCCGGTCAAACGCCGGCCAAACAAAATCGAGTCACTACACCATGGGATTAGATCCTCTCACAATTCTTCAAGAAAGAGAAAACAGGTAAAATTGGCTTCTTTTACCTGTTGGAATTTTTATCACGTGACAATTCGGGACGATTAACATTTTGCTTTGCATCAACTTTGTAGGAAAGCAGCTCGGATCGCAATGAGAATCGACGTACTTAACAATTTACCAACTTTGATGGCTGAAGATTTAAAACTTCGAGCTTCGAAATCGAATTGAGGTCATTGAGACTTTTAAATTTTCAAAGGCAGTTAAAAAGCGAAGTTAGTAAAATTATTTTTCATTAAATTTAAACAAATTTTCTTGTAAATTTCTTTTTAATTTATAGCTTGTACGCGTCGCTATACCACGCTAGAAACTGCCGTCAATGTAAAAGCGTACAAACGAACCAAACATCAAGGTTTGAGAGAAGCAAGAGCAACTGAAAAACTTGAGAAACAGCAAAAATTAGAAGCGGAAAGAAAGGTAATCAAACATTGACCTAATGACCTCTCCTCTCTCTCTCTCTCGTGTTTAACTTTTTTGTTGATTTAATTTTAGCCATGGAAGGAAATTCTCAGCGAACCTTTCATGAAATTACCTTCTAAAAATAAATTACCGGATTATTACGACATAATAAATAAACCTTTGGATATAAAGAAAATATTTAACAGGATAGAAGATGGAAAAGTAAGCTGGGGGGAGGAGGTGGGGGGAAATAGAAAAAAAGGGGGGAAAAGTTTCATTCTGACTCTTGTCATTGTTGTTTCAGTATTCGGATTTTGACGATTTGGAAAAGGATTTTACTCAAATGTGTAAAAATGCTCAAATATACAACGAAGAAGCTTCTCTCATACACGAAGATTTAATCGTCCTTCAATCCGTGTTTACGAACGCGAGACAAAGATTGGAACAGGATGCGGAAACGGATGAGAAGATAAAGGTGATGATGAGAGAATCCCGTCGTTCGGATTTTATTATTTGTCAAATTTTATTTATTTTGATTTTTTAAATTTTCAGACGGTGGACGATGAGGATGGAAATTCCGAATCGGAATCCGTTAGAATGAAAATAAAAATAAAAAGTGGAAAAGGTGGAAGAGGAGGAGAGGGAAGAGGAAGCACGAGAAGGAGGAAAACTCAACCAAAGTACACGAATAGCGATGACGAAGACGAAGACGATTGATTGGAAAGAGGAAAAAAGAAGAAGGAGGAGGAGGAGGAGGTGGAAAAAGAAGAAACCAAAAGGAAAAGAAAAGGAAAAGGAAGACGAAAATAGGAAAAAAAAGAATTTTCGGTCGAAATGATTTTCGCAGCGCACAATGCTTGGGAAATTCGAGTTTTTCTTTTCGTTTTTTAATCTTATCTTTTGGTTTTTCGTATAGAACGGAAATGACGTCGTCGTTTGCGGGGGGTAGAGAGGATAAAGGAGAAAAAAATGAATTAGGTTAAGAGAAATAATAATCTAAAAAAATGCTATTTTTTAAAATTTTTTATTTATTTATTTTAATTTCATGACTCGATGATTGATTTTAGATAATTTTATTATTATTATCACTGTCGATATTGTCGTCAATAATATTATTATTATTATTATTATTAATGTTAGTCAAAGTATAAGAAAAACTAAAATAAGTATAAAATGTAATTCAATAATGTGAGGTTTTTCGCTCATCTGACAGTTTGATTGATGAACTTAATATTATTATTATTATTATTAGTACCGATAATTTTCTATATATAATTTTCATCGTCTGCTAATTGTACGATGATTTTAACGCGACGATATCATTCGAAACGTTTTTTTTTTGTAGTTTTTCTCGTACGAAGTATTCCAAATAAAAAAAGTTTCCTTTTAGGGTTAGAACGATAATATTTAAATTCACGATTTCTTTTTTGCAAGATTGATAGGTGGAGAAAAGGTGAAAATGAGAGAGAGAGAGAAAAAATACGTGCGTTTTTACTCGATGGTAAGTAGGTAGAACGCGGATGAAACAACAGAAAATTTTTATAAACTTTTTACATTTGTCTTTACTAATTGTTATTATTTTTTTTTTTCTTTCATTTAGGAAAGGACCAGTAAAGACGAGCCGGCACATTCAGGAGTGACAGTATCAGACAGCGAAACAAGATGATGTCTACCTTTTGGATTTTTCCTGTGCGCGGGAGGAGGAGAGGAGAGTAGAGGTGCAAAACGTTTCTGTTATATTTTCAAATAATTTAAATAATGGCTACGATTTCGTTTTGGAAAAAAGTACGAAAAAGCGAGAAGGCAAAAAGAGGAAGGGAGGGAGGAAAAGGCGAGAAAGAGGAATAATTAGAAAAAATCAGGTTCGGTTGTTTGTCGTCATAGAAGAAACCTCGTTTTAAACCTGTAATTAAATTTTGAGTGATGATTGAACGTTTGATTTATATTTGGCCACATTTATATTATATACATATATATGTATAAAATATATGTATGTATATTTTTCTTAATCGTGACACATAAACTACTAAATTTGCCACAAACGATTATTAAGTTTTCCGGTTTTTTTTTTTCAAATTTATAATAATAATAATAATAATAACAGCGAACAAGCCGGATAACATCCTCAGGCATAATGCGGAAAAATGGTGTAAGTTAATTGAGGTATCCGTGCCGGCAGAAAAAAACACGAGACAGCCAAAGAAGCAGACAAAAGGCTGAAATATAGAAATTTGGAAATTGAAATAGCCAGGATGTGGGAAACAAAAACAGAAACGATTCCGGTCATCGTGGGAGCATCACTGGGAGCCATGCCACCACATTCAATGAAAGGAAATTTAAAGAAGATTTTGAAGAACCTAAAAGAAGAAACCATCCAGGAAATCGCACTATGTGGGACGGCCCACATTCTTCGGAAAATATTATAAGTAACACCACCGAAATTCGAGTATTTGTCCCTAAGGAATCGGGTAGAAACCTGGGATAAATACTTAAAAACCCCGACAAATAAGAGTCTTGTCGTGTTTAATAGTGATAATAATAATAATAATAATAATAATAATATAGTAATATATGTATTTATTCTCTCAAATATATTATTTAAAAAAAAAATAAAATTTGTTTTTTTTTTTTCCCACCATGCATGTTTGGTTATATCATTCATTTATTCCCATAAAATAAAAACTTAGAAGAAATTTTTATACAAATTGGGTTATGCAACTGGCAATACGCAAAACCCGACAAATTGCATAACTCACAAAAGTAAGGCGAACGAAAAAAAATCACGAAAAATGAGTGAAAAATTGGTTCCGAGTATCAGTAAAACATAATATTCAGGAGGTCTCAATTTTTCGTTAGTTTCGTTTTGCTTCAACGCCTTGCATTTAGAGTATATGCAATTTTCAGTACAATTTTTAACCAATGGCGTGCTTTGTATACATAACGAGAAATTAATGGCGCTCGCCATTCTGTCTCGTGATTGGTCAGAAAAAAAAATACCATATTTTTCATGTTTAACTTATGTATTAATAGGAATAAAATTTAAATTATGAAATAACTATGTTTTAAAGCAAAATTGTGTATATGTATATATTAAATGTGACCAAGGATGGAGAAACGAATTTAAAATAAAAAAAAATAATAATAATAAGGATAATAAATAAATTTTATTTAATTTTTATTTATTTATTTATTTATTATTATTATTATTATGTAAAAATATTTATTCGTGGCCGTATTATAAAAGCATGTTCGGTTGTTCATCTCGTTGTGTGTTATGTTCGGTTCGTTCTTTATATTATAAGTCGCAAATTAATACTAAAATTAATTTACAGTTTATTTCTTGTGACGTGTTAAATGCTCAGCATAGACTTTTTCACAAAATAAAAGTAAAGGTTATTTTAACTCGCGAACAAACACTTAGAAACTATCACTAAACCAAAACTAAAATTAAAGAAACGGATAAGAATTCAATATAATAAACAAGTATCGAAAGAACGCGTGCAAAGCTGTGAAGCTTCCCTTTATAACCTCAATTTTTCATTAGTCAATTGTTTCGAATGTCCAACAATCTAAACGAGCAAATACTTGCAAATAAAACAAAAGAAAGAGTTTCTAGAAGCTTCGCTTCTAAAGAAGAACAATTTGAGTTCATCGTTAGTCTTTTGTTTATAAAAAAATTGAAAAATGTGAACATTGAGTGCGGGATCATAACAATATATATATATTTACAAGGCCAAAACTGTATTCTATTACTGGAACAGCTAATGTGCCAATGGAGTTTAACTTATTTCTTCCATTCAGTTCCGACTGTAATATGAGCCTCAATCTTTTAAAATATTCTTTCTTTAATCGAGGTTTAATTTCCTTGTTGGCTACCCCAAAATTTTCTTCAATCCCCAGATATTTGTATGTTGATCCAGGGTCCAGTTCTTCAATAAGTTCTTCTTCGGAGTCTTCTATATTTTCCTTCCGTTTTAACTTTCCACTGACAATATTAACTCTGGCACATTTTTCCAAACCAAATTTCAAGTTGATGTCAGAGGAAAAAGTTTGAACCGTCCTTAGCATTTTATTTAACTCCTCTTCATTTTTTGCATAAATTTTTAAGTCATCCATACACAGCATATGGGTGATTTTCCTGCCTCCCGGTACCAACTCATATCCTTCAGTCGCAGGAGTATAACTCCCATTTCAGTCTCAACCTCAACCCTTCTCTCAAAGCCGTAATCATCAGATCCGAACTCGCAAAGGTGAGAGCAGATTCCCCTCCGGCATAGGCTGTTGCAGAGATCTGCTCCACCCAATTGGGATACTCCTCTCAACCATGTGGGAGGCATTCCCGAGGTATCACTTTCGGTCCTGCCTCCCATAATTACCCATGTACATATACATACATAATTTAATACAGTATTCATGTGAGAGTGAATGCGTATTGTTATGTTCGGTTCGTTCTTTATATTATAAGTAACGAACAAGCACTTAAACTATCACTATAACAAAATTAATATTAATGGATAAGAACTTAATACAGCTAGACTAAAAATCAAATGAACACGTGCAAAGCTGTGTAGCTTCCCTATATTACTTTGGTCTTTTGCTACTCAATTGTTTCGAACGTTCAACAATGCAGACGAGCAAACACTTGCAAAAGAAAAAGTTTCTAGAAGCTTCGCTTCTAAAGAAGAACAATTTGAGTTCATCGCCAGTCTTTTGTTTATAAAAAATTGAAAAATGTGAATATTGAGTACGGGATCATAACAATATTCAGATAAATGAGAAACATTTGATCTTTCAGTGACTATCCTACGATAATCCCAACAGTGAAAATTTCTTTCGTCTAATTGAAGATATTTTGTGCAAAGGTTTAATTCTTTGTTCCAATCAGGTTTGGGTAAATTGTCCAATATCCATATTCTATGATGCCAACTACCATAGGATTTTGGATTTACTCTCAGGCACTGTTCTGTCAATTGTAAATCTTTTTCCAATAGTTTTTGATAACTTTCCAAATCCTCGTCGTTTTTAAACGACAAAAATATTTCTCTTCTATAATTCCATAATGTTATTATATCCGGATTTCCTGTTATTAAATTACCAGTGAGATTTAAACCTTCTTCGTCGTGAATTTGTGAAGAACGTTTTTCTGAATGAATTTTTTAATGAATATTTGATTCATTATTTTTTAAATTCTATTGCCTTTTTCTGTTTCTCTTGCCTTGCGATTTCTTTTTCTTCTTCTGTCGTTCTTATTTTGACTCTCCCGTGCATTTTGTAATTTCTTTAAAAACAAATTTTACGATTTTTATTTGAAATTAATACAGGAAAAATAACTCACAATGGGAAATAGTAAAAATAATAGTAATATATGTAAACAACCATAGACATCAATTTAAACTTAATTATATCGATGGTAAATAAAGTGTCATTAGAAAAATGTATTTCACTTTAACGTGGAACTTATAAAAATATGGAAGCTTTTAACGTAGCCAATACATGAATATTCAGTACCAAAATTT